TCTTACACAGTCGGAGTACTGCATGCTTCAGGGATCAACGCTGAAGGATATGCAGGAATAAACAACCACTAAGACGTCTGAATACAGATACATGGCAACGGTGAACCCTGATGGTAGGGAAGGCACGACGGAGCGGTTAGTGAGCGCCTAACCATTGCCGGGAGGCTACGTGGAGCCAATGTCAACGTTGGCATACGACATCGGGTGTGTGTCGTGTTCACCTCGTGTGCGCTCGAGAGTTGCACGGACTGAATATTCAACGTTGGTCTCACTACATAGCATATGCGGAGGCTCTATGAGTGATATGGCGCACATTCTGGGGGGCGTTGGGTGAATTGCCCACATACAGAATGATACGGGGAACGTATTCATCAGAATTTGACAAAAAAAATGATTGCTCACTCCAGGATTGGGCGGCATTTGTTAAAGTTCGAAAATTCTGTGCACTTCGTTATCAACAGATTGTAATTTTTTTATTACAGGGTGACCACCTGGAAGTTTCAACAAAATTCTCTGACTTTTCCCGGTCAAATTTATGGAATTTTCATGGAGACATTTTTTAGAAAAATTCTAGTGCTAGCACGGTAAAAGTGACGGCCAGGGAAAAATTGCTGGCACTGGAAATTGTATTTGGGAAAACGTGAATTTTTCCCCGTATTTCTGTGAAAATTTCACCGAAATCCTGAGAAATTTTACCAGAAATCCTAAGAAATTTCACCAGAAATCCTGAGAAATTTTACGTCAACGGCACTATAATTTTTCACAACTGGTGGATTGTGATTTTTTTCAGTACTCATACCAGAATTTTTCTAGAAAATTTCTCTCCATGTTCTGGTCATAGAAAGCATTTTTTTGTAGGGGAGGGTAGGGCAAAACGGACCGCAGAACAAAATCGCTAGGGCACAACGGACCGTCGACAGATAATTGGTAATTTTTGTTTTTTTTTCCTTCAAATCAGCAATACTGAATGAGTCGAATCAAAAGTAAGTTTCTTGGATCGTAATCGTCACAGGGGTTTTGTAGGCAAGAAGTCTCGTTGAACCGCAATTTGACCAGATTGGCTAATCACTTCAAACCACAGATGACTTTGAACATGACTTTGATCATCACCAAACTTCCTACCTCAATTATTGATTGATAAAATAGTTGAAAATTTGAATATTTGAATTCATGATATTTAAGTACTCAAAAAATTTCAAGAGTGATGTTATCTAATTAATGGCTACAATATTTAATCGTAATAAAATATTGGCAATTTGGCTATCCCTGGTATAAAGTAATGATTTCACAAATTCGAAATGCAATGTTTCAGAAGAAATTGATACGCGAAATCCTCCCCCTCCCACTGTTTGTCCAGTAATAATTATTCAATTAATAATTCCACTTTGGATTTTATTCACATTTTTTTTTCTATCCTCCAGCAGTTGAGCCATAATCGCAACGGCATTTCAACCGTGAACGAAAAAAAAAGTGAAATGAAAGCGGCATATCCAGTGCGAGCTTTACCGCAACAAAAATAACCAAGGAAAAAAGATATTAGAGGGAAAAAGGATCGGTCCCCCGGAGGCCAAGCGTTGGGAATTCTATTTTATCGAAATCGTTAATTGCTCTTGGTGTGCCTATAGTACACATTGGACGGAAGCACTCATCTGGCATTGAAAAAAAATGAATAAAAGGGCTAGAAGAGAATTGTAGCAATGGCGACTGTGTTTCTGCCTCGGCCAAGTCGATGCGAATAACACGGTAATGTGCACTGGTGGATTCTTGTGTGGGTGAATGTGAATTACCGTGGGAAAGTAGGTCATTCCTGTTAACGGCAGTTGGTTCCCCGGCATCGTGCGTGCGTCAGTGGCCAGCACAGACGGGACTATTTTGCAGAGATGGTGTAAGCCTCCAATTTTTTTTTAGAATTCTACGGGTTTTTCATCGCTGTTTTTTTCACTCTTTATGGTTCTGAATGGAGGCTTTTGTTGAAATGTATCAATCCCTGGTATCAAAGACTGACTTTTTTTTTCGTATTCAGCTGGTGGGGTGGTTAATTCTTTGATGTTTTGGACGTGTCAATTTCGTTTCGCGTATCGACGTGAATTTAAAATGAATTGAGATTGGCTTGGGTTTAATTTCAGTCACTGATGGAAATGTTGCAGCGAAAAAAAATTCTTGATTCGATTAGAAAGACGGGGATCCAGCCTATCCGAGTTTCCGACTCCTTTTGTGGATAAACAAGGCGGTCTTGTGAAAACAGTGTCACACTGTTGGAAAAAAATGATATTTCATGGACAGTTTACTAATTTTCAGGATAGTGACACTGAGTGCGATTTAGGGGAAAAAAAGATGAAATTGTAGGTTTCACTGAAAATTCAGGAAAATTCCAGAATTTTAAGCAGCATAAAAACGAGAATTCCTTAATTTATTTGAAATTTCATAATTTTTTCCCCCAAATCGAATTTAGTGTTACTATCCCGAAATTTCCAGAATATATTTACTGGAATTTCTGGTTTTTCTATTCATTTTCAGAGAAAAATGGAACTGAAATTTCCAGTTCTCTTTGATTTTTCCTCGAAATTCTGAATTTTCAATGACAAAATTCTTTGAAATTTCAGGGGTAATTAAATTCGATAAAAATTTCTAAGAGCACGGAAAATTTGAGACAACAAATTTAACAGCGTAATTTGGAATCTACTTGATTCAAGTCGAACTTTATTTGAATCAAGTCACCAACTCGACTGACATTTTTGGAGGATATTCGATTGAGGAAGTCCGCAAAATCTTACAGAGAAAAAAATCGATTGTTGATTTCAAGTGATTTTATAGAATTTTGTCTCACATTCCATGATTTAAAATTCACGTTTTTTTCATTTTTCTGGCAAATTATGAATTGGATTGATGCGAAATAATATATCGTTTTTGCGTTTTATTATTATTGATTGACTCACGAAGTTTTATTGTAGTGCAATCATTTCCCTGAATTTTTTCTGAAGTTTTGTGAATTTCCGGACAGGTTTTGAAAAAATGCAGGAAAATGATTGCACGATCATGAAATTCCGTGCGTCATTAAGTAATGATAAAACGCAAAAACGGTATATTTTTTTACCTCAATCCGATCAACAATTTACCAGAAAAATTCAAAAACCGTGAATTTTGGCGAAAAGAGTGTATACATCCTTAAAATGATTGCACACTTTTTCAAATGATTTCAACTGATTTCAAGTTTTCGATTTCCTCTATCTGTGCAATTGCTTCCAGGAGAAAAATCGGACCGGGTGATAAAATAAGACCTTGTGAATTGCGAACAAGTTGCAACGGGGACCTCATTTTACGAGGGGCAATGAAAGGGATCGAATGAGAGTGATAGGAAGAAAAATTGAGAGTCATAAGGTTCTGACGGTTAAACAGGAACAATAGATAGAGGAATTAACCTGTCGTAAAAAATTTGAAATTTGTTATGCCTTTCAGTGACATCAAACATAGCGCCAAAATGTCAGTATTGATCACAAATTCAGAGACTACGGATGATGATTTTTTCTCTGAAGCTTACGGACATCCCATGCCCATTGCCACCCATAAACCCTTAATTTGAACCTAGGGTATAGAGAAAAAATTCATTCTATTAAAGTTATAGAGAATTCTCATTAAAATTCTATTTGTTTTTTGCGCTGATTCTATGAGATATTTGATAGGAAAACGCCAATAGATTTTGATTTTTCTATGTGAAAATTCTCTTGGAATTGTTTCTGTCTGAATATTTGGGCATGAATTTTCTAAGTTTTTTTCACTGGAATTCCGCGATGCAAAACAAAACAAAATATAGCGGAAAAGACTTCGAAAATCCGTGCCCAGTAGTTTGAATAGAAAAAATTTCAAAAGAAAAATTCAAACAGAAAAATCGAAATTTACTGACTTTATCCTATCAAATATTCAATAGAATCTGCGAAAAAACGAATAGAATTTTAACGAGAATTCTCTGGAATTTTAATAGAATCCCCGTAGAATTTCCAAAGAATTCCAATAGAATTCTCGAGCGTTCACTAAGGTTTTCTATTGATTTTGTTCATACGTGGACACTTTCAAGTCTCAATTTTCGATCATAAATCTAAAATAAAACTCGTTTTTTTGGGTGTCTAAAATCGCATCTGCATCTGAATCCGAGTGAATGATCCTCCAAATAAGTAGACTAATTATCTTAATCTCCCGATTTCTCAATCACTTCATTCACCAATTTGTTCAGCAGATCGAAAAGACAAATTCGCTAGAAAATTCTATTGGAATTCTCTAGAAATTCTATGGAGATTCCCTTAAAATTCTAGGGAATTCTCGTTAAAATTCCATCAGTTTTTTTGCGCTGATTCTATGAGATATTTAATAGGAAAAAGTCAATAGATTTCCATTTTTCTATATGAATATTCTCTTGGATTTTTTTCTACAAGAACACTTGGACCTCAATTTTCTAAGTTTTTTTCATTCGGATGCTGCAATACTTAACAAAACAAACTATAGCAGAAAAACTTAGAAAATCCGTACCCAGTAGTTTTAATAGAAAAAATCTCAAGAAAGAAATTCAAACAGAAAAATCGAAATCTATTGCCTTTTCTTATCAAACATACAGTAGAATCTGCGCAAAAAACAAATAGCATTTTAACGAGAATTCTCTAGAATTTTAATAGAATCCCCATAGAATTTCTAGAGAATTTCCATAGAATTTTCTAGCGAATTCGCTACGCTTTTCTATTGAATTTTTTCATACGTATAGTGTTGAACATAGGAAAAAATTTTAAAAAAAGTTCTATTCGATTCAAATCTGTTATTTCTGGTGCATGAAAATCGATGCATGTGCATTGTTATATCCATAAACCTGTGAATATATGAATTATACATTCATATGATACTCATACATAATTCATATTCAAAAGTCGACGAACTTTCTATTTTATTATATTTCCTACATAAAATGATGACATAGAAAAATGCAGGAAATCTTTTATTTCATGCGGGATATTCACCTGACACTGTTGAGGTCCTTGACGATTCGGTGACGAAGCTTTCGGCCTTGATTTCTTCACCCCCAGCTTTCCAGGATCACCTGGCCCTGTTCTCGACTCTTCACTGCTTCCTGCAATCACAAAAGCAATTCTGTATTGAGTGGGGGACCGTTACTCGGCAAGATGTTCCAGGTCACATTCAATTGTCCGTAATTTCTTGAGTGGAATGGAGAGATGGATGTGAACGTTACGGGTGATACATTATTTTGAGAGTATTTTCACTCACTAGGGGGCTATTGGTTTTTTTTTCTTGTACAGTGTACGTCGGTGGCCTCGTTGACTGACTTGAGTGTCTCTAAAGGGTCAAGTCTCTTCGGCTTCAACGTGTAGGGAGATTGATCGCTTTCGGTTGCATGTTTTACCGGAGACCCTGTGAAGAGACGCTAATGTCCGGTCCTCAACTCTACTCCATGATGTCGATCAGACCATCGACTCCAACGTACATTGATGTACGAGTCCATGGTTTTTGCAAGGCATTGATTTATCCCGGTAATAAGGGCTTTCAGCGGAAATTGTCAAGCGATTTTTTTAGAAAAATTACTCGTTGAAAAGGTGAATAAGAATTTCTTGGACGAATGTACTTGGTTTAAGCGGAGACTTCTGTGAGTTTCTAATTTTTAATTTTCTAGGATTTTCACATCATGGAATGCAAGAAAATCAAATTATACCATTTGCGAAAAAAGGAAAATTGAAGAAATTTAAATTTATAAGATTCATAAAAGTACATAATGAATGAAAATCCAAGAAGGAAGAATTAATCAATTTCGAAAATGATAAACATGAGAAAATTAGTAATTATAACAAAAAATAATTTGAAAATTTGAAAGCGCGTATTTTTTAAGTGGCTAACTTCACGCGACTCATTGAACAATCAGAATTTAAAATTTGTTGTCAAACAGTTTTTATATATTTCGAAATAAAATTTTATATAAAAAAGAATAAAAAAAATTATTTTAAAAATATTAAAAAATGTATAACAATTTGACTTTAATATTTATTGAACATGTCATTGCGTCTTTGCTATGTAAACTTTGAGGGCCCAGGTGGCATGAAAGTTATGATGATATGATAATATGTATGTTTGACATAATGAAAACAGATGTCGATATAAAACAACTTCACGCGGCGTTTTGCTTTTAGCGGTAGGATCGTCGTGAATTTTTCATGTTCAGAATTTTACTCTCTGAGGAGACTCTTAGTTCGATCATCGGCTGTACTTCATGATGACCATAATGTCGATCGGATAATCAACTGTCCAAAGTGCATTGATGTAGGGTAGCTGATGCATGTACCGCCCACCTAAGGGAAATGAGTCATTTTTTTCCGCCACGAACTCTACAAGGAGTCATAAATGGTTAGAATGGATTCTTCGAGGTGTTTACTCGAAGATGTGAAGAGGACTGATTTTTTTATTAACATTAAACATATTTAATTATGTCATTCAATTGCCATCGGCCAGTGAGCGATGGAATCGAACTTTGAGTGTAATACCGCCCGATATGCGTCCAATACCGCCCACCTTCTTTTGATGACTTTTTTGAGTAATGCAGACCAACTGTTATAATTTTTCCTATTTTCACACTGAGAAGAAAAAAATTTTTGCCAAATATTCATTTACTGGAGGGAAGCATTTATTTTTCCAAAATCGTATTTTTCCAACCGCATCACTCAGGCGAGCTTGATTAGGTTTCAATTATGACAATGATGTTGCTCTAGAGAATGACTCTGTTGAACATGACCATGGATAAACTTCTCTAATAATTTTTCATTTTTCGTAAATTTCTTATTTTTTACAAGGAAGAATTTCAAGTGATTTTTAAATGTTTGTGATTATTGAGGGAGTTCATTCGAGCTTTTAACTACCATGATCATCTTCAAGAGCAACATAATTGTCATAATTGAAACCTAATGAGAATTGTCTGGGAATGGCTCGACTGGAGGAAAATGGTATTGAAAAAATAAATACTTCTCTCAAGAAAATGGCTATTTGGCAAAAAAAATTTTTTTTCTCAGTGCATCCTTCTTTTTTATTCTTTGCCTCCATTTTGCGAAAGGTTTCACGTGAATAATAATAAATTATCCTGAATTTACCCGATGTTCCAGTGGCCACCGACTACCCCAAACAATCGAGCTGTCACTCTACCGCCCTCTAGCTGCAGAGTCTAGCAGTCCTATAGAAACCGTGGGCGGCATTACCCACAAAGGCGGAGGCTGATAAAATAGCAAATAATAACTGATGAAGATATTTTTCTGCTATCGAAAAGGTCGCAATAGATGTGGAAATGTACAACGAACGTATATTGCGCGCTCCATTCAATTATAGCGCAACTGAAAATTTGAAAAATCTTAAATTCTCGGGTCGAAATATTGTAAGAATTCGGTAAGAAATGATTTGGATTTTCTTTAACGATGTTTCCACGGGAGAAAATGGAAAATTTCTGTTGAGATTACTTGTTGTTGTCAAATATTTGCATAATAAGAAAAGAAAACTTTTTTTCGCAGCCAGCCCTGAGAAATACGAGTGGCCGGTATTACCCCGTTGGGCAGTACAGGCATCAGCTCGTCTACGAATTCATGGTTTCTGCAATTTTGGCGTTGATATCTCCGGATGTTGAGGGCTTTCAGCGAAAACTGTCACGCGATTTTTTAAAGGAAAATCACTCGTCGAAAAGGTAAATAACGATTTCTTACACGAATGTACCACTTGGTTCTCAGTGCAGTTGTGTAGATGTAAGTTAGAGTCATTTTTCTTCGCCTCAGTAAATCGTAGACAGAATTTTACAACACCTGGGGCTCAGCGCATTCATCCTTTTTAATGTTACTTATTCGAGTCCCCGTTTCCACCATGTTTTTCCTGATAAATCGCATACGACTAGAAAAATAAAGACGGACAGGGGGGATTTTGTCAGTAATCCTGAATGAAATTTCAACGAGCATTTCACGATGAGTATTTTCAACGTTTCAGTGCGCCATTTTCAGCATCCACTTGGGGTGAGTACAGTCTCGATGCCGAGTCCATGTTGCTTGATGGACTTTCAAAGGGGGAAGTGTACTTTTTTGCAACGTCCACGGTTGGGGGAAAAATTAAAATTTCAGGGAGAAAAGGCCTGGCGATTTTGTCAGCTTACGGGATTTTCAATTTTTAACTATTTCTGATGGAAGTATCTCATCATCTGATTGTGCGATTCTGTTTATGCATGAGCGTAAACCGAATTCCATAATGTTCTTTTTTCTACTGGGTGATTGCTGCATGAAGGATGGAACATAGTCAACTTCACGGTACCAATCCTTTCTAAAAAAAAAAGCAGGTGCAATATCTCGAACGAGTGGAGAAAGTAAAGCGGTTTTCATGAGTACAATCTAACAAACAAAAGAGAATTGAATACCATTCTACGAAATATAAACAAACGAATCATAATTATTCAAATCATTTAGGTCAGAGGACAACAGAATAATTTTACTTTTTAAATATTGCGTTTACTAAGGTTTTCGCCGAACAAAGTTGATTAGAATTAATGCTAGAATTACGAAATTATCTCTCTTTTTTACGTCAAGGATAAAATATTCTAGAGAAAAAGACAATAGAATTCGCCTTTTCTATGCAACTTATTCCATTGAGATTCATTTCCTATAGAATTTCCTCGGCTCCAATTTTTTAAGTAAAGACGTAGAAGACGTTCTTACAGAACAAATCATGGGATCTGCTTTACGCCACTGTAAGAATTTTTCATTGAGCGACACTTCCATTCACAATTACCTTCCAGATAGTAAAAATTGCCAAACTTTTTCGGATAATTTTTCCTCAGTGTAGTATTAATTCTTTTTCCGTTTGTGTTTTGCTATATTGACCAAATGAATATCCGTTGTTATGTCAAACACAAGAGCTATATACGGTTAGTCTACGCCCAAAATGTAGCCCGGGGTTGGATGGAAAATCACAAACACACTACCCAACCTCAGCATGTGGAGTCCAATTTATTAGCGATTCCTCATTCAAACCAATATTAATGTTTACTTTAGAATACCCCAGTGGAAGTCTAATGTGTACATAATGAATACACGGTTGATACAAAATACGTTAATGTATTTAAAAATCGGAAAGCACATATTTGTCGAATAATTTCCGGAAAATGGTATTAAATGAATGACGTGCACGGAATTAAATGTAACCATTGGATTTTACGCGTTGGTTATTTTTGTCATATTGTGTGGTGACTGAAATTTGATGCGGAAATCAATCACCCAGAAAAAAATCCTTATTTTGAGATTAAAAAATCTGCAATTCAGACTTTCGAAAGGCTCAAATAGAGATATTGAAGGCTCAAATTGAGCCTTGATCTTCTTCAAGTTTCTATTCTTCATGTTTCAAAACGAAATATTCTGTAATTTTCTAAGAAATTCATCAATTATTCAAAATTGCTATTTAAACTACTCAACTTATAATGATTCCATGGGTCTGTCACCTCCAATTGTGAATTTTATACCGGATTGTAACATTTGAATATTTCCCGAGGCTTCAAATCCCTTATTGATAGAAGGAAATGGTGTTTTGCGGATCATTTCCTTCTATCATGTATAATTCATTGTTTATTTTATTTTATTAAATTGAATGAGATTTCTTTCTAACGAATTTCGTCAGATTTTCAACTTAGTTGAATGTTATCATCATCATTATTCTCATCATCCCTTTCTTCTATACAACTGATTGGCTTTTTTACAGTTCGATATAGAACTGCTAACAGACATAACTGATACATTAAGGAAGGGAATTTATATACCGTTCCACATAGATATCTCTCCCCTCAGCCCTTCAATAAAATGTTAACTGAAAAATTTTATTTACACATACTTGAATGAATTTGAAACATCACTTTTGAAGAAACTATCAGAAAGCTCACTTTCAGGGAAATTCATGAAAAATTGAAAATTTTCAACAATCAACATACAAATCAAATCAACCGTTATAGCTATCGTAATCATCTTTTAACTTCGACTTAACGGCATTAAAACGAACATTTTAAACTATAATTGAATTCATTTGAAGCATGATATTCAAAGATATCCCCGGCAT